CCACAAGACTCCAAGAGGACATCAACCAAATCTTCAAATGGGCCACTCAAAACAACATGAAGTTCATTGAAAAGAAATTTCAACCACTCAGATATGGAAAACTTGAGGAAATCAAAACTGTATCAGGGTATACAACAAATTCTAACCATACAATAGAGCAAAACAGTAATGTGAAGGACCTGGGGGTGATAATGTCACCCCCAGGTGACCACAACAATGTATCTACCATAACTGCTAGGAAAATGATAGGATGGGTAATGAGAACCTTCAAAAGTAGGGATGCCAAGGCCATGATGATTCTCTTCAAATCACTTGTTCTCTCTAGGCTGGAATACTACTGTACACTAACCCTTCAAGGCAGGCAGAATTACCGACCTGGAGAGTGTATAAAGAAATTTCATGGCACATATAAGTGCAATAAAGCACCTAAATTACTGGGAACGGTTGAAGTCTCTTGATTTGTATTCCCTGGATCACAGGGAAGAAAGATACATGATGATATACACTTGGAAAATCCTAGAGGGATTAGTACCAAACTTGCACACAAAAATCACTTGCTATGAAAGCAAAGTACTCGGCAGGAGATGCAACATTTCCCCAGTGAAAAGCAGGGACACCACGAGTACACAGAGAGACAACACAATAAGTGTCCGGGGCACAAGACTGTTCAGCTGCCTCCCAGCATACATAAGGGGGATTACTAATAGATACCTGGCTGTCTTCAAGAAGGCACTGGATAGGCATCTAAAGTCAGTACCTGACCACCTGAGTTAGGGTTTGTACATCAGTTTGCCTGGTTGATCAGACCCTGATCCACCACGAGGCCAGGTCTCAGACCAGGCCACTGGGGCATTGACCCCAGAAACCATCTCCAGGTATACTCCAGGTCTAGTTTCAAGTACAGTGGACCCCCGAGTTTCGTGAGCCTCGCAGTTCGTGATGTGCCTTGCAATTCTTCCATCATTTGGAACACATAAATGCAGTCGGGAGCAGCCAGGCATACACAAAGGCTCCTATGCAATGTTCGGAGCATCATTGTGGCATTGTTTCTGCGCGAATGACCATCACTCCAGGTGTTCATGTGATACATTTCGTAATAATCCATTGTTTTTGGTGCTTGAAACTGCTAAATAAGCCACCATGGGCCAAAAGAAAGCTTCTACTGCCAGGCCTTTGGTAAAGAAGATTAGAAACACAATACAATTAAAGAAAGAAATCATTGCAAAATATGAAAGTGGTGTGCTTGTGGCCGAGCTCAGCAGTATGTACGGAAAACCCCATTCAACGATCATTTCCATCGTGTCTAAGAAAAAGGAAATCAAGGAAGGTCTTGTTGCGAAAGGGGTAGATATGCTCACCAAAAAGAGATTGCAAATACTAGATGTTGAGAATTTGTTGGTAGTGTGGATCGACGAAAAACAATTAGCAAGAGATAGTGTCATGCAGTCGATAATTTGTGAAAAGGCAAGGCAGTGGCATACTGATCACATAAAGAAAATGCCTGCAACAGGTGCTAATATTAGTGAATTTAAGGCCAGCAAAGGGTGGTTTGAGAGATTTAAGAAGCGTAGTGGCATATACATGTACAGTGTGGTAAGGCATGGCGAGGCTGCCAGTTCTGAAAAATTTGTGCAGGAATTCAAGAACTATGTAGAGGCTAAAGGATTCGTAACCCAACAAGTGTTCATTTGTGACGAAACAGGCCTCTTTTGGAAGAAAATGCCAAAGAGGACCTACATCACATAGGAGGAAACGGCACTTCCAGGACACAAGCCTAACACAAGGCTAACTCTCATGTTCTGTGGTAATGCTAGTGGGGATTTCAAAGTGAAGCCTTTACTGGTGTATCACTCTGAAAATCCCACAGTGTTCAAGAAAAATGGTGTTGCCAAGATTAAATTGTGTGTGATGTAGAAGGCTAATAGTAAGGCATGGGTCACAAGGGAAATTTTCCTTGATTTGTTCAATGAAGTGTTTGGCCGGAGTGCAAAGAAATACCTCCTGGATAATAAATTGCCACTCAAGTGCCTCCTGGTAATGGACAATGCTCCTGCACATTCTCCAGACTTGGATGACCAAATGGTGGAGGAGTTTAGTTTCATGACAGTGAAGTTCTTGCCACCTAATACCACTCCTCTCATCCAGCCCATGGACCAGCAGATGATTTCAAACTTCAAAAAACTGTACACCAAAGCAGTGTTTCAAAGGTGCTTTGATTTGACCTCAGACACTCAATTGACCCTAAGAGCTAACCACTGAAGAGCTGCAAGACCTTCATCTGCAACAGCAACAGAGCATGGCTCAGGAAATTGCTTCAGAGGAGGAGGAAATGAGACTGAAGAAGGTGCCTTCTTCAAAGCTTAGGGACATTTGTTCAAAGTGGAGCGAGGTGCAAACGTTTATGGAGGAACATCACCCTGACAAAGCTGTTGCAAGCCGAGTTGGCAACATGTACGATGACAATGTCATGTCCTATTTGAGGCATATTTTAAAGAAACGCCAGAAAGAGGGCTGTCTGGAACAATTTTTTGAGCGACAGGGGTCCAGTGACTCTCAAGCTGGTCCTAGTGGCATTAAAAAACAAAGAAGGGAAGCAACCCCTGATAAGGACTTGGTACCTCAAGTCTTTATGGAAGGGTATCATGTTCAAATTAATAAATAAATAAATAAATAAATAAATAAAGGGGATTCCCCTTCCAAACAATAGTGTTACTTCTCCATCCTCTCCCCTCCTTCTGTCTTCCATACACCAACAAGTGTCTTCAGTAAAGGTAAGTGTGATATTATTCTTTTATACAGTATGTACTTGATTTCTCATTCTTTTCTGTATGTTTGTCTATATTTAACCCTTTCAGGGTCCAGAGGCCAAATTTCAAAGTGTGCACCAGGGTCCAAGAATTTTCAAAAAATAATTTTGTTATTTTTTCTTATGAAATGGTAGAGAATCTTTATCTGATAGTAATAAAACAAAAAGTACAAAATTTGATGGAAAATTGACGAAATTATACTCTCGCGAATTTTGATGTGTCAGCGATATTTATGCATTGGCAATTTTGCCGACTTTCACTCCCATTTTAGGCCAATTACATTATTCTAGTCTACCAAATTCTTAGCTGTTTCACTAGTATTACTTCTATTCTATCGATTGAGCACAAGAAATTGCCAAGTCAACCGTTTCAACTACAAAATAAAGTGATTGGAAATTGGTAATTTGGCCAATTTAATGCAAAGTTCAAAATATTCCAATTTCAAAATAGGGTCCAGAATAAGCAATGCAAGCATTCCTGGCACTAAACTAACATTTCCGCTGTTCATTAGTTATGTTTTCAGGCTTTACAAATGAATTCCATTTTGATTTTTTATTCACATAATGAATTTTTATTCAAACCAAAAAATGGAAGATTTAATATTATGCAATATTGTAATAATTGTATAAATAATATCACCACATTTGTGAACGTATATTAGACCCACCAGCTAGTGTGTATTAAACATGTGAGGTCATTTGTTTACTCTTGAACATCGGCAAAAATTTAACATTTCCGCTACTTTGAGCTCAGTTTCAAGCCATTTTCAATACTAAAACCAATCAAAATCATCTCTATTTCTGTAATATACCTTCCATTCTATCAAATGAGACCAAGAAATCGCAAATACAACTATAAAAAAATACGAAAAAACACTACAAATTCGCTGTTTTAACCGAAAATTACGATCTTGGTTTTTTCTCTCATGCACTGTGTGCTGAAGGATTTGTTTTATGTGGTGCACACATACCACATAGATGTATTCTCTCATATCTAGGCCCAAATTTACCGCTCACAGCTTATTAATACTTTTGGGTGTCTGGAATTAATTAATTGGATTTACATTATTCTTATGGGAAAAATGGTTTAAGCATTTGTGAATTCCAACTTTTTGCAGACCCTCTGGAATGGATTAATCACAAAACTCGGGGCCCATTGTAGTCTATAAGCATTAGGATTAGTCTGCCCAAAATGCCCCAACATGTTAGTGATTTTCTTTGTACAGTGGTACCCTGAGTTTCGAACTTATTTCATTCCAGAATGCTGTTCTAGTGCCAATACCGAATAAGGAATAGTGTAAATCAGATTAGTCCATTTCAGACCCCCAAAAACACACTTACAAATGCACTTACACAAATACACTTACATAACTGTTTTAGTTGGGAGCAGTTTGAAACTCGGGGTACCACTGTACTTAACCATGCGTTATAAAATGTAAATTGCATATTGTAACATTTGCAAAGAAATAAAATTTGTTTGTTTGTTTGCTTAGATTTAATGTAGGATAACCTAGTAAGGTCAAAAAATTTGACTTATTGTCCCATTTGTTATTGGACACTGGCCAAATTCCACTCTTAGTATCATTAAATTGTAATAAATTTGGAACAACTGAGGTATATTCCTACCAATTCCATACCCTGTTTGCTGGTACAGGTTTCTCCTTGCAACAAAATCCACTTATGTACATGTTCTGCTGAGGCAGTGTTATCCATGATTCACTATATGGACCCACATGAGCCTACATTTTTTCCTAGGAATGATGTGGTAGGCAGCTTAAACAGTTGAACTGAGGCATAAAATGGTGGTGCTTAGCATATTTGAAAAATATAAAAATTATGTGTAAATGTACATCACACACAGTTTGGTCCCCTACATAAATTTACTTTGTGCAGTTAAGTGGTTGTCATATTTTTTCTTTTTCATCCTCCAAGTACAGTACAGTGGACCCCCGGTTTACGATATTATTTCATTCCAGAAGTATGTTCAGGTGCCAGTACTGACCGAATTTGTTCCCATAAGGAATATTGTGAATTAGATTAGTCCATTTCAGACCCCCAAACATACACATACAAATGCACTTACATAAATACACTTACATAATTGGTCGCATTGGGAGCTGATCGTAAACCGGGGGTCCACTGTATTTTGTTTAGCACTTGAGAATGCTTCATTTAATTGACTTCAAATTTTCAGTGATGGTTTACTGTAACTGGGGCAAGTTTCATGCAGCTATTGGCATATGTGAGTTTGCTTTTCTCAGTTTTAGAAAGACCAAAAAGGCACAATACCATGACTGGAACAATGCACAAATAACCTGCAAATAGGAGAAGGAGCTTAAGACGATGTTTTGGTCCCATCTGGACCCCTTACAAAGTGTGCGGGTTATTTGTGTATTGAACCAGTCACTGTATTGTGCCTTTTTGTTCTTCTTTCTTCTACTATTACTTCCACTACCTACCTACCTACCACTACTACTACTTCCTCTTCTCCATCTCTTGTTCCCATCCCTTTTCCTGCTCACCTATACGTACGTACTGGCTTCCTCTCTCTTTTCTTTTAGTGTGACTTTGTAAATGGTGCAGGTTATTTGTGTAGTTTTAGAAAGTGATATGTGATTTTGATTTCTGTGCAGTAACTGGAGAGAACCTCTTCTGACACTCCCATCACACAGGATTATTTTTTGTTAATATTATTTTTGCCATATTCCTTCGCATAGGATAGTTTTCTTGTCATATTCCATGACACAGGATGGCTTCATCACACAGGATGGCATCATCACACAGGATGGCATCATCACACAGGATGGCTTCATCACACAGGATGGCTTTATCACACAGGATGGCATCATCACACAGGATGGCATCATCACACAGGATGGCATCATCACACAGGATGGCTTCATCACACAAGATGGCTTAATCATGCTGTATCATAGAGGATAATTATCTTAGAGAAGTTTCAGGGTTAACGGCACATGAGTGTCATTCTGTTTACCATTAACACATTATGTAGCCATATATCCTTTCATATAGTACTGTATATTAAACCTCTTTGCAGATAAATTAGCTATAGTACAACAGTTGAGCACAATGGTGGTCCTTAACATTAAACGTGGTAATGAAAGCCAGTTTTTACTAGAGACAACAGTTCAAGCCCCGGTGGAAGAAGTGCTCAACAGAACAGTGATGATTCATAATGGTAGACTGAAAGTTTACAGAATCTGTACTGGTAAGCGTTGTAAACCTCTTTTTTTTTTTTTTCATTCCTCAAACAAGTAAGATTTAATTTTTTTTTAATACAGCCTCTCCTCACTTAACGACAGAGTTCCGTTCCTAAGACCACATCGGTAAACGAATTCGACACTAAGTGAGGAGCATACTATAATGTTAGTTTGTCAATTTTCTTTGATATTGTTTTAATGTCATCTTTGCACCATTTATAACATTTCTGGTATATTTGTAAATGTTTATACATTAGTGTACTGTACATCTTCTTTCAACACACCAGCCGCATCCCACCAAGGCAGGGTGGCTCAAAAGGAAAAACGAAAGTTTCTCCTTTTACATTTAGTAATATATACAGGAGAAGGGGTTACTAGCCCCCCGCTCCCGGCATTTTAGTCACCTCTTACAACACGCATGGCTTACGGAGGAAGAATTCTGTTCCACTTCCCCATGGCGGTAAGAGGAAATAAACAAGAGCAAGAACTAGAAAGAAAATAGAAGAAAACCCAGAGGGGTGTGTATATATATGTTTGTACATGTATGTGTAGTGTGACCTAAGTGTAAGTAGAAGTAGCAAGATGTATGTGTATGAGACAGAAAAAAAAAGACACCAGCAATCCTACCATCATGTAAAACAATTACAGGCTTCCATTTTACATTCATTTGGCAGGATGGTAGTACCTCCCTGGGCAGTTGCTGTCTACCAACCTGCTACCTAGGTGTACTGTACATATATTGTTATAAACAGAATAGCGGAAATCAGCTCTAATATACATTATTTAGGCATGCATACTGGTCAGAGAGTCCGTTGTAAGTCCGAGGTGTCGGTAAACGAGTACGTCACTAAGTGAGGAGAGGCTGTATTTCACAGTGTAAAGAGCAGCTTAACTGAATGGTGCTGAATATATTTTGTTTTTAAAATTAATTATGGAATGCTAACAATAACTCAGTTATTTTGATTGTGTGTAATTAATTTTGGAATAAAATATTATGCAGGTTGTAATTTTTCATTAACACCTCTTCGAAAGTTGGAAAGTTTTTATAAGTAGTTTTCTTTAACTATTGTAAACTCAGTATAATTCTGCTATCTATTTTAGAAATGGAATTACTAGCCGAGCATGGACCATCTCTCCCACCCGAGATGCAAGGCCTTACTGAAGATCAAATCAAAGACCTTCAGCTTGAAGATAATTGGGCTAAAATTTGTATAGCAAGTGGTGGTGTTAAGGAAAATAAGTAAGTTTTATTAATTCTTTTTTTTTTTTTTTTTTTGGTATTTTGTCATTTAATTTGCAAAGGGACAGTATGATGTCATTCATTCTTTTACTAATGTCTTAAATTTTGTTCTGTACTTTATGGTGCAGCACTCATCAATAAACCTCTACCCAGGCTTGGCAGTTGGGGGGCATTAAATTGGATGAATTCAAGGCATTTTCTGTTTTTTTTTTCCTTAGCCCTTTCACTTTTTCCCACATTGTTGATGCAGTGTCACTCATGTAGATCTACATTTTAAGCACAGCACTCTCAACTAAGCTGTGGCTGGTAAATTTTGGCCTAGACATGAGAGACTGGGTTTGTGCAGTATGTACAGTATAAAAAAAAAAAATCCTGCCCCATGCAGTGCATGATGGGAAAAGCAAACCTCTTACCTTGTGTTTGGTTTAAAATAGTGGCTTCAAGGTATTTTCTTGGGTGGTTTTTATGGTTTATTGGCATCAATTGACAGAATGGCAGACATGTTAGAGAAATATAGATGATTTTTGTTGGTTTCAGGATTGGAAATAGCTTGCAATAGGGCTCAAATTAGCAGAAATATTTGATTTTTCATGATTTTCCTGAGGATGGGTAGGGCTTCCTTTAACCCCCGGTCTTTGTTATTCATTTCTTACCAGCTCTGCTTCAGTTGATTTAAAATGGAGGGCAAGTGTTATATGAGAGGCCTTGAGATGTAAGTAATGAACACATGGTAGGTTACTTTAGTGGCTGGAAGGCCTACAGTGTTTATTTTTTATTACATTTTAAAATTAGAATTTGTTGAATTTTGTGTAAAATTGTCCAAATTGCTAAATTCTGGGCAATTTATGTGGTAGTTCTGATAGATGACTGGGCACTTTTCTTGCACTCAGTTAATAGAACAGAAGGCAAATGAATGAAATAGCTAGGAATTTGGTCAAATTGAACAATGGAATTGCTTAATACAGGACTCAAAGGGAGTGAAATCAGTGATGCATAAATGGCAGCCAGACTGCCAATTTTGTGCCTTTGTAATTCTGTTCCCTCAAATTTCACATTTCTGGTGTTATTACTTTCAGATAAAGATTCTCTACCACTTCATAATTTTTTTTTTAAATAATGATACCATCAGCACTTAATTTCTTGGGCTGCAACAGTGATGGGGTTCAAACTAAAAAAAATATTAGTCTTCAGTAAAAAATGTATGTCAGAGAAAATTTAAATTGTTGTCTTAGACATGATATAAGATTAGAAACATCGAACACAGAATCTATTTGGCTACAGTTTCTCGAGGGACGTGACAAATTAATTTTGGGCGTGATTTATAGGCCCCCAAACCTTGATAGGGAGGGTAGTAAGCTGTTATGGGACAAAATTCATAAGGCATCTAGATATGAAAATGTTGTGATAATGGGAGATTTTAACTTTAGACAAATTGATTGGAACAATATGACAGGAAATCTTGAGTCTAGTGACTTTCTTGATACAGTTCAGGATTGCTTTTTAGAACAGGTTGTGACAGAACCAACTAGAGAAAACAATCTGCTTGACTTGGTTCTTGCCAACAAAGATTCACTAATTAATAATCTTGAAGTTAATGATGAGCTTGGGGAAAGTGATCACAAATCACTTAGTTTCAATATATCATGGAATTACCCAGATAACTGCAATCAAATCTCTGTCCCAGATTTTCGCTTGGCCGACTTCATGGGACTGAAAAATTACCTAGGTGGGCTAAATTGGGATGTCCTGACTATGGGTCAGGTAGGTGATCTTGGTTGCCAATATGACGTTTTTCAGAGCATAGTTCTAGCTGCCCAGACAACTTTTGTTCCGAGTAGGGAAATTAGATCTAACAAAAATGATCCCAAATGGATGAACAATAGATTAAAACATCTCATTGGTCAAAAGAGAGGCATATATAGGCATATCAAAAGAGGGGATGGGCAGTTAAGAAATCAATATATTCAATTAAAGAGAGAAATAAAGAAAGGAATAAGAAAAGCAAAAAGAGATTATGAGGCTAAGGTTGCAAGGGATTCAAAGACTAACCCAAAAGGATTCTTTCAGGTATACAGAAGTAAGATTAGGGACAAGATTGGCCCACTTACGAGTAACTCTGGTCAGATCACTGACAGTGATAAGGATATGTGTGAAATTCTAAATACCTACTTCCTCTCAATTTTCACCCAGGAAAATACTAGCAATATTCCTGAAATAATAGATTATGTAAAACAGGATGATAATAAACTATGTAGGATTGCGGTAACTAGTGACATGGTCCTCAGACAAATAGAGAAACTAAAACCTAACAAATCCCCTGGCCCTGATGAACTGTTTGCAAGGGTGTTAAAGAAATGTAAAGAGGAACTTAGCATACCTTTGGCTAATCTTTTTAACATATCACTACAAACTGGCATAGTGCCTGATAAGTGGAAAATGGCAAATGTAATACCTATTCACAAGGCAGGTGACAGGTCCTTGGCTTCGAACTATAGACCAATAAGCCTTACCTCCATAGTGGGAAAATTTATGTAATCAATAATTGCCGAAGCAATTCGTAGCCATCTTGACAGGCACAGATTGATTAATGAATCTCAACATGGTTTTACAAAGGGGTGTTCCTGTCTTACGAATTTACTAACTTTTTTCACTAAGGTGTTTGAGGAGGTAGATCATGGTAATGAATATGATATTGTGTATATGGACTTCAGTAAGGCTTTCTATAGAGTTCCACACCAGAGGCTATTGAGGAAACTTAAGGCACACGGAATAGGAGGAGAAATTTTTCCTGGGTAGAGGCATGGCTGACAAATAGACAGCAGAGAGTTTGCATAAATGGGGAGAAATCAGAATGGGGGCACGTCACAAGCGGTGTTCCTCAGGGGTCAGTGTTGGGCCCGTTGTTGTTCACAATTTACATAAACGGCATAGATGAGGGAATAAATAGCGACATAAGCAAATTTGCTGATGACACCAAAATAGGTCGTCCAATTCATTCTAATGAGGACACTAGAGCACTCCAGGATGATTTGAATAGACTGATGAAATGGTCGGAGAAGTGGCAGATGCAGTTTAATATTGACAAATGTAAAGTTCTAAATGTTTGACAGTTAAATAACCATGCCACATATAAACTAAATAATGTAGATCTTAATACTACTGATTGCGAAAAGGATTTAGGAGTTCTGGTTAGCAGTAATCTAAAACCAAGACAACAGTGCATTAGTTTTCACAATAAAGCTAACAGAATTCTTGGCTTCATATCTAGAAGTATAAAAAATAGAAGTCCTCAGGTTGTTCTTCAACTCTATATATCCTTGGGTAGGCCTCATTTAGACTATGCTGCTCAGTTCTGGTCACCATATTACAGAATGGTTATAAATGCTCTGGAAAACGTACAGAGGAGGATGACAAAGATGATCCCATGTTTCAGAAATCTTCCCTATGAGGATAGACTGAGGGCCCGGAATCTGCACTCTCTCGAAAGGCGTAGAATTAGGGGGGATATGATCGAGGTGTATAAATGGAAAACAGGAGTAAATAAAGGGGATGTAAATAGCGTGCTGAAAATTTCCACCTAAGACAGGACTCACAGCAATGGATTCAAGTTGGAAAAATTCAGATTCAGGAAGGATATAGGAAAGCACTGGTTTGGTAATAGTCGTGGATTATTGGAACAAACTCCCGAGTACAGTTATTCAGGCTAAAACGTTGTGTAGTTTTAAAAATAGGTTAGATAAATACATGAGTAGGTGTGGGTGGGTGGGAGTTGGACCTGACTAGCTTGTGCTGCTGGGTCTGGTGCAGTGCTCCATCCTTGAGTGGAGGTGACCAGACTGGGTGGGTCATTGGGCTAATTTGGGGGTGGGGGTCATTGGTCTAATCTTGGGGGGACATGGACCTGCTCCGCATGGGTCAGTAGGCCTGTTGCAGTGTTCCTTCTTTCTTATGTTCTTTAAAATAATTTATGTAATACACTAGGAATTTTTAGTGTTTACACATTTATTTTTCTTTTAAAAATACAGCAGGGCCCTGCTTTACGGCATTTCGTTTTACGGCATTCCACTAATACATGGACATTTCAAATTATAACCAAAACTCACTATGTGGCTCCCCCCACCTGACTTTCTAATACGGTCACCACGCCCCACCTGGTTTGTTTACATTCTCTGTGAGCTCCGTGAGTACTGTGTCTCTCCATTATGTCTGGAAACTTTCCAAAATTTCAAGTGTTTTAAAGTTATTTCATGTTTTATATATATATGTACTCAGATAATGATACTTATGTGTACCTGTACCTAAATAAACTTACACACTGTGCTGGCATGCGGGTACACATTAAAATCACTAAGAGTGTCTTAGTAGTCTTGAGAACGCCATATTAATAATGAGTCTCGACCATTGCAACCACAAATAGGGGAGTACTCTTAGGCGCATTGAATTTCATATTCGTATTACATTAATATAAACATTTTCGTTAATCCATCTATGATATTTTTTTTTCAAAATTATATAATAAACATGCTATGTAACACATAAACATGATAAATACACTGCTCAGTACAATAAATTAACATAAATATGAGATGTTAGGTGTAGATGAATGTGTATCAACCAAAACCAGACGCCTTCTGTTTGTTTACATCCTCTGTGACTTTCCTTTCTCACTTTCTCTCATTCTCTCTCTCTCTCTCTCTCTCATTCTCTCTCTCTTCTCCTCTCTCATTCCTCTCTCTCTCTCCTTCTCTTTATTCTCTCTCTCTCTCTCTCATTCTCTCCTCTCTCATTCTCTCTCTCTCATTCTCTCTCTCATTCTCTCTCTTTTCTCTCTCTCATTTCTCTCTCTCTCTCTCTCTCCCTTCTCTCCTCTCTCTCATTCTCTCTCTCTCATTCTCTCTCTCTTTCTCTCCTCTCATTTCTCTCTCTCTCTCCTCTCTTCTCTCTCTCTCTCTCTCTCTCTCTCTCCTCTCTCTTCTCTCTCTCTCTCTCTCTCTCTCTCT